TCACTGTCCTCGAAGAATGTCCTTTGTCCTTCAGGTGGAGGTGGACTGCTGACTCTGGTCCACTGGGGTTGGCCCTTCTGTGTTGGGCCATGCGTTTGTGGAGAAGTTGCTTAGTTTCACCAGTGTACACATCGTTACACTCCTGACTATACTTAATTGCATACACCACATCACTCTATGTCTGAATGGATTCACAGAAGAGGCACATTGAGCTGCAGAGTGACACGAGTGCCAACCAACTACCACACTGGCTCCCGTGTTCATGGTGTTAGGCAGGTGGTCATAATGTTGTGGCTAATTGGTGTTTGTGCATCTTATTCTTCTTTCTAAGATCACTACAATAAATATAAGTAAATGTATTCCATGTGTGAAAAAATTAGGAAAACCTTAAGGAAATAAAGAAATGCAATAGACTAAAAATGACATTTAATCAACATAATTTTAGATAGTAAAAATGGTTTGGCCTTTTGTCTGATTATGAACTTGGCTTTATCAGATACTTGCTGTGATCACATTTACTTGATATTGACTTGACACTGATGACTAAAGTATTATCAGGGGCTTTCCTTGTAATGTAATTGAAAGAACAACTGCTGGCTGTTATTTCACTTAGACATGCTCTGTGGGTGTCAGTTTCCCATTGATCTATAGAGATGTCACTGAGATGCAGCCCTTCACTTGACATAAGAAAAGCACTTCAGCAGCAGTCTGGATGAGATCATGCTCACTTGTGTTCAATTACTGTACAACAACACAGCTAACAAACTGCAGTCAATTAAATGGGGCGAGAAAAGTTAATGGTGCTATGCAAGAAGACAGTATCTAGTAGATTTTACTCCAAACTCATCTAGTTCGAGCAAAAACTTCAGTACATTTAAACTGCAGGAACACTCACATTCAGACAGATATCTGGTCTTGACCAGTAATTACATCAGCAGTGAGTGCCTGAGTGTGTGTGTCTAAATGTTAATTTAATCTAGCACCAGTGGAGACACTAATGGTTTTTATGTTGCTGATTAATAAATAGAAGGATGGTTGAGTGACACAGTCAGCCATAAAACACACTAATAACAGACATCAACCCTTTTCATGGTGCTTAGGTTCGGGTCAAAATTGGCTGACTTCAGCATAACTGACTCTCATAATCGTTAAATATTAATATAAAAATAATCTTTTATTCAGTGTGACACTTCATCATAGTTTCACCAGAAATGGTATGTGCTTAGTGCTGTTGCTTCACAGCAAGAAGGTTCCAAGCCGACCCAGGGCCTTTCTGTGTGGAGTCTGCATGTTCTCCCTGTGTTTGCCTGGGTTGTCTCCAGGTACTCCGGCTTCCTCCCACAGTTGAAAGACATGCAGCTTAGGTTGACTGGTGACTCCAAATTGCCTGTAGGGGTGAGTGTGGGTGTGTGTGGTTGCTTGTCTACACGTCAGCCCCGTGACAGACTGACGACCTGTTCAGAGTCATGGACCTTGCCCAATGTCAGCTGGGATTGGCTCCAGCCACCCGCCCCGTAACCATCTTCAGGATATGGATGGATGGTATGTGCTTGTTTTGTACAATTATACAAATATGATATATTTTAATTGTGTTGGCATGGTTGGCACTGTCACTTCCCAGCCATCCAACCCCTGCGACCCTCTAGGATAAGTGGTGTAGCTAACAGATGGATGGATGGAGAAAGTCTATACTGTGGTGGCCCTTACATTGGTACTCTCTGGACTCTTTGTGTTTTGTTTGCTTACTGGACTCTGCCTCTCGCCTATTCCCTTGGAATTATTGATTTTTTTAGATGCATTTCTGTGACCCCATATGGACTCTGACTCTCCCTCTGTTTATCGCTGCTCAGTTTTTTGCTGCTTGGACTCTCATTAAGCCTGGCTTTTTCTTCTTTATTTAATAAACTGTTAAAGTTCACCTGCCAGCCTGCCTGTCTCTGCTGCATTTGGGTCTTCTTCCTGGTGCGTTACACTATTTGCAATTTAAAATGAAGCTGAATGCAGAAACAAAAACCTAAATACTGAGTACAATTATATATATGAAATATTTAAAAACAATTGTGCAATAAATAAAGTTTTATCAAAATTACAGTGTCAGATGTGATACAGAGATCGATTCTGAATGAACACAGAACGGTTATTTAACATGCTACTGTAAACAAAATATCAAAAAGGTACAACACAGCCAAAAAGAGGTAATTCAGTTTGATCTCTTATTCTCATATTCCTTTTTAGAAAACCATATATTATAGGAAGAATATTTCAAAGTCACTGATAACAAAGCAGGGAATAAAAAAGTAAAACACTGGTGAAGGGTAAATGCCTATCATGGCAAGTCACGTAATTTGTGCCATGACAATTAAAAACTGTAATTACATTATTATCACCTGTTCTTAACTAATAACAGCATTAACTGACATTAGGGTATGTTGTGATGTAATTTACATTATTCTGGAACCTTGGTAACCCGGTTGGCGAGTGTTTTGCAAGACGAGCAAAAAAGTTTGATTCGATATACAAGCGATGTCTCGCAATACGCGTATTACGTACGCTTTGTCTGCCGGGTATCACATGACGTATGTCACAACTGAGCCGATGGTTCTCGCGCTTCACTCTTATAGTCAGTATTTGTACTGCAACAATGGCCCCTCACGCCAGCCATGATTCTTCATGATTATTTTCAAAGGTAAAGTGCAGGTTAATTTGTTTTATTCTTCCTTTATACTGTATTTTGTATTACTGTAATAATTTTTATATGGATAAGTGGGTGTGGAATGAATCATCTGAGTTTCCATTATTTCTTATGAGGAAATTCGCTTTGATATACGAGTGTTTTGGATTATGAGCACGTTGCCGGAACAAATTATACTCGCAATCCAAGGTTCCACTGTACATGCTTCAGTAAACTACATTCTGGTTTGACTGCATTGGCCATCAAGCAGAAGAATCAATGCGCACTTTGAGAAATGGCACAAAAAACTAAATGGTACTTTACTTTTTACTAAATACCAAAAAATACCAGAATTCATGCTGGGTAGTGCAGGGCAGCCTTCATTACATGACTACACACAGACAAAGCCATACCAGACCTTTCAAGAGATTAGGAATCACAGCTCAGGCATCTCACCAATAAGTAACAAAGTCAGCAGGAGCCAAGCAACACCTCGCTCTACTCTGTCAGAATAATCCTAAATTATTCATGTGAATCTCAGTGAGAACACTGTCAGTAGGAAAAACACATATTACTTATGTAAATCCTCAATTGCCAAAAGAACAAGTTGTTACATAACAGATGTAGCTTGAACTGTCACTTTCCAGCATGATGGAACATACTAACACCCCCACCATCCCCACCACCTCCGACACCACCACACGCCCTCATTCACTCCATTAACACTTCGTCCTACCTGTTCACTTATATTATCAGCACCCTCCTACAGTACAAACAGGAAAAATGTTACCGAGTGAGTGTTCACTGATGTAGCCTGCAGGGGACAGGACAGACCAGCTTTACCAACACAGCCCGACATAATGTCAGGTACAGCCACTAAGTTAGCATTAGGATAACGAGAAGGGGAAAATAAATAGACAAGATGGTACTTTATGGTTTGAGCAGCTGAGCCAGGGCAGGCGAAACTATTTAACTGAGGTTTAGGTTCAATTTTAAAATACTGTAGGTTACAAACTTTTTAGTCATAATGTAGCCAGTCATTGACTATCGACATATGATTTGTTCTGTTACATCTTTTGTCTTCCAGAGTCGTCCACTTTGACTGGTAATGGCCTTTTGAGTAATACTCAAAATACAACAGACTATTAACTTTGGTGTGACATTAGCGGTCTAATAAGATGCAATAAAAAAAATCTTAGGCCTCAGGTTTCACTGTAGTAAACAAGCAGTAATGGTTAATAATTCTTCTATGGTGGGTTCACTCCCATTTTCCCTGGCACATACTGCTGAGACGGGTGTGCCGATATTGATATGTGTGTGTCATAAATAGTTGGACCACTGTGTTTAGCTTTGACTACTACCCAGGACAACAACTCCTCCAGCCCATTCAGCAGGCGGAACTGCAAGGACTCAGCCAATATTATGACAACGTACAGCACACCATCAAGCTTTACAGACTCTTTGTCATAACGGAAACAGCCATAAACATGACGGCAAGTGTACTGGAACGCTATCGTCATAGAAACTGTCACAGACATGCTGTTATGATTATGAAACTCTCACAGTTTGTTTTTACATACTACTTGGTTAGGTTAAGGAAACAAAAGCTACTTGTCCCAAAATACAACAATGATAAAACACAAATATCATAACTTCCTTTAACAACATTCTAGAATTAAAATTTTAAGCATATTATGTAAACAGGCAAGTCACCAAATCGCATGAACATTAAACAGATGATAAGCTAGGTGAGCTAGTGACTTGATTTAGCCAGATTTATTTATTTATTTTTCAATATATATTCCAAATGGATAGCACTTTCCAGTCATGCCAAAAAATATACCATATGTCTTGTTGTATTTATCAAATATATTAAAACATAATAAACCATGTAGTTCTCATTAAGGCAGGGTTTTTTAACACACAAATAACTGAACTGGTTCAACAACTCAGATAATGAGATGATGTTGTATGTATAAATATTTACTTGTTCTCAGTTGATGGAGCATGTGTTAAACGGTGATGACCCTAACCCAAAACATTTAAAAGCAACACACTCAGTAATTTACAAAAAAAGAAAAACCTGAATGAAAGCTAGACAATTTTTTTTTAAATTTCCTAACATAACCATCTTGCAACCCCACAAATTTTCCTTGCTATCCCAAAGGACATCCCAACCCCCGACGTTAACCACTGGACCTGACTATCACAAGGACTTACTGTATCAAGGTCAAAAAGCTGCCTCTTTCTCTTTATCTCTACATGTAAGACAGTGTGCTCTATATGGTCAATTTCTTGGGAGCAGCATGATTATACATACATACTGTACCTTCACATTGTCTGGATGGAGACCCCCAGGGTGTTTGTCTATGTACTGACACAGGTCTGTGTGCTGTAAAATAAAAGCAAACCAGCACAGTGTTAATATATTAACATGAGAAAATATTAAAATGTGTGAAAAGTTACAGATAAGCCTGGCAATCTAAGAACAGTCATCTTGACATCATGGTGATTTGATGTCTTTCTTTTTATGTGGAGAGGGTTGTCCACATACTTTTGGCCACATGGTGCATTTCCCTCACCATGTCAAGAGGAGACATCTGGTTTATCTGGGGGTGACAGTGGTGCGGTGGGCAGAGCAGTCGTCTCCCAACTTGAAGGTTCGAATCTCAGTGCTTGTAGACCATATGTCAAAGTGTCCTTGGGCAAGACACTGAACTCCCCAAGTTGCCTGTAATGGCGAAGCGTAAGCACGCAGCGGCCCAAGGCCCTCAGCTCCAAACAGAATTTCATTGTATGTGTTACAATAAAATAAAGCTTCTTCTTTATTTGATCGTAGTGTTGACTATGTGAGACGTGAGGTGATTTGTTTGAAAGCCTCCATCCACTGACTCATATGACATGCAGGCGCTGTTACGCTGGCCTGCCCTTCACCTCTGTATTTTGTTAGCAGACTGAGCATGGAGGAAGCAGTACCTCGGCAATCACACTGATATTTACAATATCAGCAATCCCCCAGTGCTACTCACACCAATGGAGTCTCCTCTGTTGAATAATTCAGACAGATGCTGTGACATGGAAAAGACTGTCTATTTTACTCAAAACCGACTCTCCAAGTTTCCATCTCCTTACTTTGAATTTTCTCCTCTATCTCTTAACAATATATTTCAATGCTTTCCCCCTCAACTCTGTCCCCTCTCCCTGTGTATTTCATCCTCTTCCTGTCAATCATTATTAGCTTTGAGGGGAGAAGAACAGATTGATTTTTCAGTGAAATGCCCTCTGTCTATAAAATAGGACCGACTGATTACACCATATGATGATATACTGTATAACCAGGCATCCGACACATCTGCCACCAGGATGAAGTCATAAACAGTAAAGAAAGTAATTGCCAATTTGCTTTTTAACACTAGAACCACCAACAATGCGGTACCTCCTAGAACTGCCGGGAGGTCATTTTGACCTCGCACCACTTCAGGCTTTATAATTGCAAATTAAAAGTCTATTATAAGAATGTTTGGTCATTTTTTCAAAATAGCATGTAAAAATGGATGAAATAATAAAACATCAGAATTTTATTTCTTTTATTTTAGCAATATAAAAATATAAAATCAATCCTGAGGCCTGTAGAGCCAGTGATAAATCTTTACCTGGCTCAAAAGGACAAACAGTTCATTTGTCAGCTGACAATATATACTGAAAGAGAGCCATATTTATTGCAGTTGAATCCCAGGGCAATGGCTGTAGTCTGTGATCTTTACAGTACACTGACCACACACAGGACGCCGGCACTTGATGCACAATTTGACAGTTTTGTTTTTATTGCAGTGTATTTTGACTGTACCATAGCTGT